AGGAAAGCAAGACATCAAACATACACGTACAAGCTTAAATAAATACATTTAATCTGAAACACTCTACCTCTGCATCGACTATGTACTCAAATGGACACAGAGTTGAAAACACTGTCTGACCACAAGTTAATGTGACTCTTATAAGATATAAGTGATAGACAAGCAACTGAAAGCTGATCCCAGGGTTTGCAATATTCCCTGAGGTAGATATGCAGCAGACCCTACCCTTCACCAGGGACTTTTGGGGTCTGGATGCACATAAACTCATGATCGCCACAAAGCAATGCCTTCTTTCTTAAAAGATCTTAGATTTGTTGTAACTCTTAATCAATGTGTTTCCAGCCCTAAAACACAATTACATAAAAATATATACATATACTGAATATTTTAACATTTTTTAGCAATTACAATCAACAGAATGAAAATTCCTTTCTCTTTTCTAAACATTGACTGTACAAGCTCTTTATTTCAAGTCGTTAATAAAATAGATAAAACCAGAAGTTTTCATAAAGCATACAAAACACAAAAAATACCCATTGCAGCTAAATGACCTACCTGTATAGGGCAACATTGATATCACTGAACTATAAACCTGTGCAGTGATCATTTTTATCCTGATTTATTATTTTTATATTTATTATTTATGTTTGTGCATTTCCTCCTTATTGTGGGGACAGTTTGGGGTTTCTGATTTCACAGACAAAATTCCCCTTTAGCAGATTTTGTCCATTAAATCTGAATTTCATTAAAGCAAAGTCTGTTAAACCAAGGGTTTACTGTATGCTGAAAATCTGCTGTTTTAAAGCAAAGTGCTCGCTTTCTGAAGCTGTGCCCTGCGTGGGCGAGGGTGAACTTCACAGTACAGGGTGAAATGCTGTGACACTAAGGAGGACTGCACAGGTGTCACAATGCAATGAGACTGTTAACCTCAGATTTGTCTCACAATCCAGTTTCAATGCATCTGAACATAAAGGCTACTTCACCTGATTCATACTTTGAAATTATTCTGCAATATTCATACAGAGCAAACAAATAATTAAGAGTGTGCAGCTCCACGCCTGAGTTGGTGTAGCTGTTCAGGCCTCCTGCCCTGCAGCTGTCATTTATGTGCTGCCTGTGGGCACCCTCCTCTCTTTCTCACTGCCATTCTCTCGGATCTTCTCCTGGCACTGAAAAGAGAGCACGTGCCAAAGCTATCAGCAGTGCTCACACTGCCTAACCTCTAGTCTCGGCTAATTCACAAAACAGCAGTATGGCTCCCTTTACAAATCCAGAGGCTTTAAAACAAAATAGAAGCAAAAGAAATGTACACTAGTGCACCTTGCCCATTTCTCCCCATCACACATCTCTGTCTAATAGAGGTGTCTGCTCTATCCAGACAGTACTGCTGACATGATATACAGTATACTGTAACAAGGGGGCTCCACAGGGTGTCTGACATCAGTCATCTTAATCTTCTTATCACACCTGAAAAGTAATCAGTTTAACTTCATTAACCTTCTCTACTCTCGCCTAATTGCAATCTGTTATTTCAGCTGAAAGAAATTTAAGCTAGAGGAGACTGTAATGGAGTGCTAGGTGTTTCCAGTGCTGTGCACACTGTGTTGAAGCTTTCTGCTGTGCTCTCTGTTCATCCAAATAAATGGAAATTGCCTGTCTAGATTCACAGACTTTAATTAACACATTTTACTGCCAAACATGAGATCTGGTCAAACAGGTTTGCATTAATGGTGCAGATCTCCAGTCTTCCCAACACAGCTTCAATTTACAATGTAACAGACTGTTATTTTTCTCTCTGCCAAATACATGAATGCTCTTAAAGACAGTCATTATGAAAAGGTTATAAAGCTCCTTTGTTAACCAAGGACAAATTGTGCTGTACATTTTCAATTAAATCAGTACTACCTTTACAGGTTCAAACTGTTTGCAGCAATGGACCACTCCACCAGCCCCTCGTGTACAATGTAAAAATGATACATGTGCTTCTGTTCCAAAAGTTGCTCACATACTGTACTTGTGTCAAGCTGCAGTGAACTTAGCAGGAAAACTTATAAACATGCAAGAACTCCTCAGTAGAAAACATCCACTAAATCCACTAAAACATCCACTAAATGGATGATAAGTCCTTCAGTATTCTGTGTTATATCCTCACTTTACTAAAGCTAACAAAGGACATGCATTAGATAAACTACATGCAATCCATATTTTCCTCACTTCTGCATAATTTATTATAGTTTCAGTCTCTACATGGGAAAGCTCAATTAGTTGAGTTTTTGCCTGAATACCCCGAATGCAGATTTAGGAACTGACAATACAAAAAGCAACAAATGATGATGACATAAACAACGGACTGGAATATTTACACATTCATTATTTAGTATATTAAAAGTTTACTTCATCCTTGCTTGTTTAGTGTTAATCTGCTCACATTTGGAATTCTTCACTACTTTCCCACATCTTTAATTACGCATGACACTTTGATGAATGATCTACGTGGGCAACTATGCTATAAGAGAATGACAATTAATTAATCTGCTAAACATTTAATCGGGAAGATACCAAAGGCTAATGCATAGAGCCTTATATGTAAAAACAACATGGTACAAAGATTAATTGCCTCAGTATTATTTTTCAATAAAAAAATCCATAAGGAAGGAAACTATTTTGAGTTGTCTGTCCTCACATTCTGACTTTACTGATTTTCATTTACGCTTGTGCGAACTGTAGCATTGCACATATGCGTGATGAAGAAACATACAGTAGCAGCTGAATTTCTCAAGCCTTGTTAACAACCCTCAAATTATAATGCTAAACCATGATTAAACACATTAGAAAATCCCAAAGCAGCTGTTTATTGTTTATAGTTTCTTACTCCATCTCTCAGAGTCAATTCATTGCTTTGGTGTCTCAGATATTTGCTTGACTGACAGGGCTAGCAGTACAATATCTCGTCAATATCACTGCATATTATGCATGAGGCTACTGGAAAAGCCACTGAATAGGAGGACGAAAGGTAAATAAAAGCACAACCTAATAATGTCTCTATGTTGGCATTTACCCCTAGTCTGAAGCACAAAGAATGCTGTAGTCAGATACTTCAACACTACTACACATGCATTAGTAAAAGTGGATAAAGCACACATACTGTAGGAGTGATGTCGGTATGTGTGAAGCAAAGTACACTACTTGCATCACTGTAAGCTTGAGGTGAAGTGCAGTGCAGGCTTCAGGGGTCTGGTGCTGCACTGAGGGGTTACACATTCCGGAGTGGAACTGTGTGAAAGAGAGGGAGTTCTATGCCTCACCAAGGCCCATGCAGTCCCTGGGCCAGCCTACATTCTGGAGGTCAAATAGCAAACAAGAGAGGCACTGAAGTTTACTGCTGGCTCCTCCAAATAGCTCTGGCCTTACAAATCATATTCTTGCTTGGGGCACAGGCATGACATCCAAGGATGAGGAACTTCTGAGAACAGGAATGACCTCAGCATTAAAACCAGGAGGCCACCACGCAGGCCTTGTCTGGGTTGTCTGAAAGACTGTAACAACCCTCTCCCCAGAAAAAGGAGTTCATTCTCAATGTTTGTTTGTTGCAGATCACTCTGCCTATGTTTCACTTGCATATCTGTTTGGCTCCTGTCTTAATAGGCCAGCCTGTACATAGCTAATTTTCTGGGCTGTGTATAAATAAAAGATTGTTTATTCTTCAGCTTGTTGCCTCTGGCCATCCTGTCCTGGCAGATGTAGGCTACCACAAGGACTGTTTTCAAGTCAGAGTAATTCATGCTGCTCTTCTGGGAGAAACTCAACAAGCTTCAGACTCTAAGCAAAAAGCAAGCTGCTAAGTTATTGATGAATTAGGATGATTTTATAACTTTTCTTTAGCTTTTTCTGCTTCTTTGCTCTTCCAGATAATTGGCACTATGTGACCAACCATTAAGCTGTTTTACAATCCTTAGGTTTTAAATATATGACATAGATTGAGCTCTGCAGAATAACATAGGAAACAGTGAAACGAATGGCAGTAAAGGAGATTTCCATCTTGCATGACAAGGAAAATGAAGTGAAATGAATGATAGGTGCAATGATCCTTCCATAACACAAATAGTGTTGTTAATGCATCTCTAAAATCATTCACAAAACCTCTTAACAAGGCAATAACACCTTTCATCTGAGTATCAGTACAAAACAGCTCCCATTTGTGCATTTCTTTATTGTTCTATCTGTGCTGGGGTTTCTGACGCACACAGATTCGTTCCCTGCTCTCTGCATGTACACTGATTCTTCTCACAGCAGCTTGCTTGGCACACATTGTGAAACACATGCATTATGTTACACTATTATGACAGTCTATGAACTGAGCCCTAAAATGTTATTTTAAAAGGCTACTGCTTCCATATGACAGGAAAGATTAACTGTCAACAGTACTCCTTAAAAAAGGTATTAGCTTAATGTCTAAATAAAACATTTTCTAGTTCTTTACTGTAATCTATGTGCTTTTTTTACTTTAGCAGGTTGTGTTGCCTAAAATCAAAGAGACTTGTACTGACTGCGGCTTTTTGGAGAGGTTAAGATCACAGGATCTTAGTTTCTGGTACTCGGTCCCTTTATCTTTAAACACCAATGATGACAGCCTTTATTTTTTAGAAGGTACATCAAACACTCCACCATGATGTGACTAAAATCAATTCAGGAAACAATATGGAAAAAAAAATAGAAAAGATGCAATAAACACAAACTTACGTTACAAAGAAGGAAAGTTCCCATGAGTAAACCATGACTCAAGGATTCTGCCGCAGTGTCAGGGGTTTACATTTTGAATATTTTGATGTTGTCCACAGTCTCCCTTCTGACTCCAGCTGTTCCTGGCAGAACTTTTATCAGTAAGATCTTCACCACAAGAAGATTGTTCTTCCTCAGGTAAAGGTTGTTCCCTTTGCTGAGATCAAGCCCTACAGCTGGTTGACCTCCAGCGTACTGCAGTAGGAAGTGTGTTACTTTACCTGCCTTAGCCCTTCTCTGCTGTTCTGCATGATCCTCAGAGCATAGTTGGACCTTTGGCCTTTGCTGTTGAATTCGATGTGGCCAGTTAGACCTTCCAATTCTACCTATCCAGGAGAGACAGAACGAGAACAAATTGCATCCCAAAGCATGGAAAAACAAGGTCACGATACACAAAAAGTTGTCATGTGTGCAGGAACAAGGTGTAGTGCAAAACATATTTCATGGTGCACAGTCACTTTGTTTGGCAGCACTCAGGCCTCTGTGTTAGCTGACGTGAGCTGCCAGATCAGAATGAAGGATCACAAGGATGTTTGTCAGATGAGACACATCCAAACTCCTCAAGTCATTACATGGACAAAAAAAGCAACGAAAGTGGATGACTCAAACATACATTTAATGAGGTTCTATTCAGCTGCCAAATGCAACAAACTGACTGTTCAATCTAGTGATGTCTGATTGTCTACTCATTTTGCAGAAGAGCAAGAACCCCTTGGTTACTGTGATGAGATGATAATTAGACTCCAACATCCTTAAATTTTTACTGCCTGTCATCTTCTGCCTCCTCCACATTTCATTTTCTAAATAAATCTTGTTGCCTACCTTTGTGAGTTGAGTGGGCTTTAAGCTTTACTTTTTTTCTTAAGCACATGCATGCAATTATCTATTGGATAATGATAACATTCAAAAGAAAGGAACAAAGGAAAAACACTTAGCAATATCATTATCGACACTGTTTATCTTGCGGGCTCTTGGAACCGGAGGCCTGTCCTCTCACCATCCTCAGGTAGTTCATCAGACTGGTGCCGTGCTCCCAGATCTTGGGGTACTTGCAGGAGAGCTGCATGGCCCCGACGTTCTGGCTGCGGTTCAGCTCATGAACAGCAGCGACCAGGACATGGACAGCATCGTACATGAGGGCAGAGGAGAGCTGCAAGGAGAGGTCAGAGGGCACCTCAGGAGTGTGGCAGTGCAGAGAGTGCAGGAGAATGAACGGGCTTTGATGTGTCTGACACAGTGAAAGTTGCAGGACTGGGCTCTACATTCTTCAGCTCGTATCTCTAATCAAACAATCTCTCCATGCAACAATGTTGTGAAAATCCAAACTGTATTCCTTATTTTTTTCTTTTACTCACTGTGGACAGTTTACTTTTTGTGATAAAGGTGAAAAAGGTGACATGCACAGAAAGAGGGCATGATCCCCCCCCTGCTGGACAGGAGGACAGGCCTGCTGAGACTGTGTAAAGCACAGCACACAAACTAGGAAGCTGGCTCTGCTCTGTGAAGGGCAGACTTGTTGGCATGCAGTGTGTTTATAATCTACAGAATTGTTTTATTGCTTGCATGTTTGCTTTATAATGCGCAGCAGTTGGTGAACACTTTGTGAGCTCTCCAGGGTACATAGAGTTCAGCCTCCACCAGCTTCGGCAGCAACCACGTCACAGAAGGTCAGACTGCACTGAGAGGTAAATGTCAGTGCTGCTCTGCTGTGGAGTAACGTGGATACGCCCACACTCCTCCACAACCGAGGGCAAGCACATTCCCTCATTGACACCCCCAGGCTTATCTGTCTTTACACAGGCAGGCAGACAGCTTCATCTAGGCTTGATACGTCTGCTCTTCACTCTTACAGCCTTAACACAAGCACTGGAGCCTGGCAGTCCCTTTCCTGTTCAAACCTGCGATACACCCAGGTTCCATCACGTCAAGGGGAAAACTACCTTTATGCAGCCAGTACTGCAAGTTGAGAGAAGTCTTCCTGAAAAACACCTGTGAGTCACTTTGCCACTCAAAAGTTCTATTTATTCTCTTATTAAACTGATGGGCTCCTGCAGGCTGATACATTAAAAATGAGTCTTAATTAAAAGGAAATGCAAGCATAAAAAATATTATTTCCACAGCAGCGTGCATTGACTTATTTTCATTTTGCTCTTAAAGCATTAGAAAGCTTGATTAAAAATACAGAACTTTTTAAAAAGGAAAGATCAGCTGGTTATCAAATTAATTAAGGGCCACCATGAAAAGAATGAGCAGATCAAAATGGAATCATGTAAACATCTGAGTATGTTTTCTCAAATTTTTCTTTAAGTCTGATAATTAACAAAATTAATAACAAAACACAGGATAACTCCCCTTGGAATACAATATGTCACAAATCTAAACTGAAACGAGTCTGTTAATTTGAACATTTGAACTACTGTAGCAATATGTACCCTTCAATAAAGTTCAGATTCAAAGGGAAGTTTGAATCTTCAAAGAATATTCCGGGAAGAAGATAAAGATTCAAAGGGAAGTCTCAAAGATGAAGGGAAGATTCAAGATTACGATTCGAAGGGAAATTGTTAGGAACTTGTCAGGAGACATCAGTCAACATATTATTAGATCAGAGAAGTTCCTTCTGGGAACTCTCTCACAGCTTCTTAGAATAGCAATGAGGCAAAGCCTTCAGGGAGAAAGGACCAATTCATATAGATACCCACACTGTATCTCTGTGACCTCTACTATCACTATCTACTGTGACCTCAAATACAGTACACATCTACTGTATTTGTACTGTATTTTTGCAATGTGACTCAGATTAGTTCTAAGGGTCCAGGCAGCTGTTTCTGCATTTTATGCCACACAAATGAGAGATGAGATTATGAGCTAAGTCTATGTTCTCGCTCATCCTGTGTCTGAGTCCTGCTTGTGAACAAGGCGTAGGGTCTCACCGGGGCTCCAGCGAAGGGGGCGTGGTCACAGTTCTCCTGCCAGGACCTATTGAGACTCAGCAGGAAGTCTTGGAAGAAGGGGTGAGTGCGGTTGAAGACGGAAAAGCCCACGATGTTGACCCGCTCATCAGCCATGTGGTCCAGCCGCAGCAGGGAGAACTCCTGAAGGGAAAGGATTGGGACAGCAGACCTGCATCACTCATGCCTGTAGCCAGTGTGTCAGTGTGCTGTGCAACACACTGGAGACAGCAGCAGACAGCCAAAGCAGGCCGGTGAGGCCTCATTTGTCATTAAAAATTCTATGTCTAATCTGTGTCATAGTGATTTTTTCTAGTTGCTACAAAAAGTCTACTAGACTTCAAAATGAGAATGTATTGATTATGCACTACAATGCATCATTAAAATTTCTATTGCTAATTAATACTATCACTACTAACTCAATTAACTATAACTGAAACTTTTTGGTCCCAAAAAATGAAGCTATTTTACTTGAGAAGAAAAAGCATTGTCCTTATAAGTGGCTGAGTATAGAAAACAATATCAAGAGTCCAGCACTTCTAATTAAATACTGCTAGATATTTTATAACCCAAGATACTGTATATTACACCTCAAACCAGAAGATCAGATCTGATAACTTCTGATTTGATCAAATAATGAGACAATGTTGTGAAACAACAATTAAATATAAAAAAATCCAGAATGTTGTCTGACATTTCAGCACTTGAACTTAAAACAGAAAACCAATCATTCTCATTGTGAGCTCTGTTCTTCTAATGTCACATTGTTTTTAGCTGTCAGTTGTCCTTAACCTTACTGGATAAAACACAGATCATATAGACACCGCAGGGCTGCCTTTCCTTTTTTCCACCTACGCTCTTTCCACATACTGTAGACCTGCTGTTGCTCACAAGCTCCACTTAATGACTGTAATGACAGTTTTGCTTTTCCAGTTAATTTTGGGTAGCAGAGGTTAATAATTAATAATAATTACAATAATATTTGCTTACGCTTATATCAAGCTTTACTGGATACTCTACTTAAAACGCTTTACAGGTAATGGGGACTCCTCTCCACCACCACCAATGTGATGTACCACCTGGATGATCAACGGCAGCCGTAGTGCGCCAGTACACTCCCCACACATCAGTGGGGAGGAGATCAGAGTGATGAAGCCAGTTCATAGTTGGGGATTATTAGGAGGCCATGATTGCTAAAGGTCAATGGGGAATTTGGCCAGTATGTTAGGGTTACACCCCTACTCCTTTCAAGGAACTTCCTGGGATTTTTAATTACTACAGAGAGCCAGGATCTCAGTTTTACATCTCATCCGAAGGACGGCGCCTTTTTACAGTATAGTGTAGTGTCCCCTTCACTATACTGGGGCATAGGACCCACACAGACCGCAGGGGTAAGCAAGATGAGCACCCCTTACTGGCCCCTCTAAAACCACTTCCAGCGGCGACCTTAGCTGTCCCAGGCTCACAGCAGCTGAGCTGCAGTGGGTTGTCAATTGTGAACTTGATATGGCTGCTGGCTGTGTATATCATTATTGATTAATTATTATGTATTTCCTGAGAGATAACTGATACTACCATAATCAGGAATATCGCAGCACATGATTTTTGAACTACAGTATTCCTACCAGCATATACAGCTATATAAAAATTATCATTCTGAGGCAAGGAATCTGTAATCAGCCCCACTAGCAACCCTTCAGTCTCTCTGACAATGCTTCTGTAATACAGCACAACACATTACAAAGAGGGAAAGGTACCAACTGCAGCCCTGTATTCCATTGATATCTTGTGACTGGACAAGAGCACCCTTATATCAACGAGACAATATTCCATTCTCCCTATGGTGCTGGTGCACTACAGTATATAAACCTCTCTTCATGCAGCAAAATGTGCATATAGTCCGCAGAGCAAATGTTTGTGCTGATTAATGTAAAACATTTGAACAATAACCTGCTGTTAAATTATTTAAGAAACTTAAAATTCCTTCCAGTTTCTTCTCAGGCAGCTTGGGAGCATTTTTAACTAAATTTGCTTCCCAGCCACTAGCTGCATTTGTGATTGAGCGAATGTTTAGGGTTCTCCCGACCATCCTCCTTGGCCAGCGCAGGCATCTGCATGTGTTCGAGTGTGTTTAGTAGCAGATCTCTGATCTACAGTATGTTAAGTATCAGCCAGGACCAGCTCTCTGAATGGTCCCAGTTGACCACGATGGCTCACCAGGGGCAAGCAAGTCATCGGGAAACAGTGACACCACACAGGAGAGTCCTGGGAGACACTAATCAGAAAGTTAAAATGGAAGTAATCTTCCCACAGAAACACACTCCAGACAGGTCAAGTGTAAAGGTCTCCTGGGTCATGGGTGCAAAGCAGGGATTGCAGGTATTTGTGGCAGTCTGAAGGGCTCCTCTGGGCTGTATTAACAGTGCTGTTGTAGCTGCCATCACTCAAGTGGCTCAGTCTGCAGTGAGGGGTGTCATGCCACTCCAGCATTGTGGCAGCTCTGTTTAGACTGACCCTGTGGCTCAGCAGTACAATGGCCATTAGAGGCCATTAGGGATGAAACAGCACACGCCAGGCTAATGGCAGACCGCTCAAGATGGCTCAAGGACTCAGCCATTCAGACAGCTACCAAAAGCAAAACATTCAGAGAAATGCACAATTGTGCACAGATCCCTGTATGACATAATTAACACAAGTGCATGCCACCCCCACCATAATCAAAACTGTCAAATGTAAAAAAGCTAGCAAAAATGAGCATTCATGGAAAATCAGACCTCTTAACTTCACCAGAGTTTATGCCCGATCAATTCCCTTGTAGCTTTAAACTTTGGCAGTCAAATGTTTTATTATTGTTGTCAACATTTCTTCCTTTACATCTGGAATCTCCTTTCTTTCTGGTCAAACTTTACTCACTCATTTTCCAGATTTTACATGCTTGTCCTCCAGGACATTGATTTAAGAAATTCAGTTCACTGTGGTGAAACAAATGCTTCACGAACACAGTTTTGATTTATTTTATGGTTGAAACTGAGATCAAGCCTGTCTTTGATGTGATACATCCTATAGGAAAGTATAGGAAATATATAGGAAAACATAAATATTGAAACTCAAAACATCAACTACTGTACTTCCACTTAATCTTCCAGGAAAAAAAAGCTTCTTCAAAAGAAATTATTGTTTAATAAGTATGACAAATACAGTCTATACCCTATACATATATATGGAAATACTCAGATTAGCTGTGAAATATATCAAGATAGTGATTTAAACTTTAAAGGCAGCAAAATAAAATTCTTTCAATTTTGTGCACCTAACTTTGAAAGCTGTACTCTTTTCATGAATTCTAACAATATTTAAACTGAAGGCTTCTGAGGGCACCATGCACTTCTGGCAGAGATTAAATTTCACTGAGAAAATGCAAGCAAACATAAATAAAAACACAAACAGAACCCTTAGGCATTGTCTCAGGAAGAATTGAGTCTGAAAACGAGCAAGAAAAGATTTCTCCTGCTCTTCACAGTGGCTTGGAAATAGGAGAGTAGAGCTGACAAAAGAATATGACTGATTGTACCACAGCCTACATGACAGCTATGTAAACCCAAAACATCCATCCAAGGTCCTTCAATTCAATTCAATAGGGATAAGAATAGAAAAATACTGTATGATTCAGTGTAAAAATCAATGGGTTCCAAAAAACTACTTGTGATATTCATGACTCTTCCACATTCAAAGTTTCATGGCAGCATCTCACAGTGATGCCGGTATTAAGGTTACTGGTCAGGGAAGCATGAAACACTACCAGATACCAATTTCTCCAGTAACAACAATAATTCCCCACAAAGGTCAATTTCAGCATACGTGCTATTAGTGTCTCATAGATTTGTTAACAAACTCTCCTTGTTCACTGCCTGAGTGCCTATAAATAACCCCAGACAATGGAAATCACGGATTTGCATTTGAGGAATAATATAAAAAGCAGGACTATAAATAACTCACTATACTGTAGACTTATAAAAGGACTTAAGTTAACACTGTGGTTATGGAACCTGTGAGTGAAAACCACCTTTAATTTTCTCAAGATATTAAGCTTCTCTTGTGAGCCTGCTTAAATCCAGAGCCAGCTCAAAAAAGTTAAAGCTGTTTTTAACTAATCAATAAATAAATCAGGATCAATCTGCAATCCTAAAATAAGCCTCCCACAACTTGGCTACCATGGATTCATTAACAGAGCCATGTGTACCCAAGACATCGGCTGTGAACTGCTTCCTAATTAATTACTTTCTGCCTGCTCATGCTATGTAGCCATTTCATTAGTAGTCTAAAAATGACCATTAACAACCTTCTCCCCCCAAAAGTCCACCCCCCCGCAACAGAGAGAAGTGTGCTGACATGCTGTTTAAAGTCCAGGTAATCCTCCCTGACAGGCACCACATGCTAAGAAAATGAGGGGAAATGAAAAATAAACAGAAGAGGACAGCATGAACGGAGATGATCGGGACCTCCCTATTAACTAGAACACAGGCTGACAGCTGCAAATTACAGTCTCATTGTGTGCTGTCAGCGGCCGGCACACTCAGATCAAGGCTCATCATTGGAAGAGAATGGAGGAGGGGGGATCACAGTGCACAGGCAGTTATCCCGTGATTTTGTTAAGAAATGGGACTAAGAGAAAGCCTGGCAGCTGGAAGAGGTTCAGAGGCCAGAGGAAAACAAAGGGGAGAGAAGGTAGGAGTGAGAAAGCAGAGGGTATACAGCCAGCAGTTATTTCTCCCTGCAAGTCACGACTGGCAACCTCCCTGAAGCTCAACCGATGTGAGCCTGGTCAGTACCTGGCTGGGAGACTCCTGGGAAAGCTAAGGTAAGCGCTGAAAGTGGTATTAGTGGGCCAGTAGGGGGTGCTCACCCTGTGGTCTGTGTGGGTCCTAATGCCCCAGTATAGTGATGGGGACATTATACTGTAAAAAAGGCGTTATCCTTTGGATGAGACAGAAAAGCGAGGTCCTGACTCTCTATGGTCATTAAAAATCTCAGCGTATTTCTCAAAAAGAGTAAGGATATTATCCCTTTAGGTGTCCTGGCCAAATTTACCCCTGAACTGAGAGTACTGGTGAGGGATGGTGGGAGATGGGTGGACAGGGCCACGC